TTCACCAGGTATATACAGTTGCCAGTTATCGGCTGCACTTTCCGCACGCTGTCACAGTGTGAGGAAAGTACTGCCGATAACTAGCAAATGTGACAGGGGATCTCTGTACAGATGATCAGTGCCGTCCACCAGTAGCCCAGTATCAGTGCCGCCTCATCAACACATCAGTGAAGGAGAAAAATTACCTGTTTGCAAAATGTGAGAATAGAAAGAAAACTTTTCAATTTTTTTGCTTTTTTTGTTTATAGTGCAAAAAATAAAAACCCCAGTGGCAAGTAAATACCAAAGGAAAACTCTATTTGTGTGAATAAAAAGATAGAAATTTCATTTGGATACAGTGTAGCATGATTGTGCAACTGTCAAAGTGAAAGATGAAATTTGGCCTGGGCAGGAAGGGCGTAAAAATGCCTGGTAGGAAAGTGGTTAACCACTATGACACTCTACTGACCGGGAAATTGTAGGTAAAACATAGCCTAGAACTCAGAAATCCAGCAAGCATCAGGTAGGTAAAACCAGAGGTCTTAAAAACTTGCAAACATTTAAATGGGTAAAGAAGACTGGCTCTAAAGCACTGGCCTACTAGTGAAGTGGACCTCACTTATCAGTTTTGAGAGAAGTTAGGTTTGGTATTGCAGTCTTCTGCTTTAAAATTTTCTTCAAAGACTTCAGATTCGGAGCCAAATAAAATAAAAAGCCGAAATGCTTTTCTCAGGGTGGGGGGGAAGCTGTAATGTGCGCCTAAACCTCTGGTCACACATCCTCTGCCTTATTCAGACCAGCGAATCTGCAGCAAAGTCTAGACCAGTCTCATTCAACTGCGATATTAACTCAAACACTAAAATTTTACATTGCAGCTTACCAATTTGGTGGCTGCATTCATTTTTTAAATTAGGCTTTCCCTCTTTATGCATTCAGTGTTTTATTTCAATTCACTTTTAAGCTGAACTAAGAAAAGCACAAATATGCTCCAACGGTCTAACTACCATCTTCTCCGCTGGTTCTTATGGGTGCCCTCTTCGGCCATCCTGCTTGGCCTGCACAGAAATACATCGTTGTGTTGCATGTCTCTCCTGCCATAAAGTCTGTTTGCAATTTCTTAGTTCTGCTTTAAAGAATTGCACCTGCAATCAGAGTCAAGCTCCTGCAGACATGTCCTCCAGCTTTCTGCCCATACCTCTGTACGGGCTGTTAGAAAGCTAGAGGAATGGTCTACAGAAGGCCAAACACAGATGGTGGGTGCAGTGCTCTTGTTAGAAAGCTGGAGGAGGAGGTGTTAGTGGACTATGAGGGTGCTCATCAGTGAATAAATCATGGGGGTGAGGTGCTGGAGTGTGTTGAACTCCAAACACAGCTGTAACATTTTCCAAGTGTGAACAGAAGGTGTCCACACAAAGTAACATTACAGGGTTGAGACAAACCGTTTAACACTCACGGGTGGTTGCAATAGTCCACTTTTATTAATTTCTGTAATAGTTAATCTCAAAACCTTCAATTTGTTAGTCTACTCAACTACCTAAATCTGGTAGTTTAACACTCCCTTTTCCCCACAGACTCACAATAGTGCTGTCCAAAAGGCGTCTGCTTTGCTACTTCATCCATAATGCAGACACCCCAAGACAGGAAGCATGTTACTGGGGAGAGCACCAGGTGAAATAAATGGAAAGAAGCCTAAAAAAGAAAAAGTAATGCGACTGCTACATCTATGGATTGGTAAGCTGCAATACCTTAGATTGTACACCCCTTGAGGGTTAGGGACTGATTTGAGTGTAATATAATTTACATACATACAATATATATGTAAAGCGCTGCGTAAATTGACGGCGCTATACAAGTACCTAAAATAAATGTTTCTGGGTTTAACCACTTGCCTACAGGGCACTTATACCCCCTTCCTGACCAAGCCAATTTTCAACTTTCAGTGCTGTCACACTTTGAATGACAATTGTGCGGTCATGCAACATTGTACCCATATAAAATTTTTAGCATTTCTTTCAAACAAATATAGCTTTCTTTCAGTGGTATTTAATCGCCACTGGGAGTTTTATTTTTTGCACTATAAGCAGAAAAAAAAAAAAAAAAAAAAAAAAAAAAAAAAGTTTCTTTGTTTCTATTATAACATTTTGCAAACAGGTAATTTTTCTCCTTCACGGATGTGCATTGATGAGGCGGGCACTGCTGTGCACCGATGATCAGTGCTGATACGTTTTCTGACAATTGCCGGTTATTGGCAGTACTTTCCTCATGCTGTGAAAGCGGATAGGTGATCTGCTGCGTCATTGGACACAGATGATCACGTGGTAAAAGGCCGCTGTGATTGCGGTAAAAGGCAGGAGGACTCAGCGATCACGGAGATCACCAGGTGCGCACCACTGGCAGTGCGCAGGAGGGCGTCATATGATGCCCTCCCAAGACTGGACAAGTGGTTAATGCTACTTTAAAAACACATACTATGAGTGATCAATAAGTTGATATAACAAAAAGCAGTATGCAGCATAGCTGGACTAACACTCTATGTTTTAATACTACCTTAACACTGTAAATTTTCTACACTGTGTTGACAGGCTAGGCATAATGGGTATAGAATTCCTATGAAATCTACATAAAAATAGCACCTGTAACCAGCACTATGTATACAGGGCATGTATGCCCTTATGTGAAAAAAGTTAACATACTTTAAGAGATAAAACAATCTCAAAACAATGAACTAAAAATACATATACAAACATGTACTTATTGAAAATATTTTGGGAAACTAGATATATTTAATGATTTGCATTTAGCATGTGTTGCATTTAAAAGCATTGGTCCGCAATATAAAGATTTTTTTATTTTTTAAATAAGACATGTCATATTCTGCAAATCGCTGCTATACTGACACTTCCAAAGTTTTAGTTGCTGAATAGCCACTTTCTGCTGAAAGCAAAGGTCTGCACTGCTCAGGACACAAAGTACAGCAAGGATTACAATTGCCTTTGTACTGCAATCCAGGGCAGTGCTGGAGAGAGATACCCTCACTTTCTGTTCTGCCTGTTTAGTCATCTCCCACACCAATTTTTTGTGTGTCTGTGTTGCTGTTGGAACGGTCCCCTCACTTCCTCTATAGTAAAACATAAGGAACGAAGGTAAATCTTTCTAATGGAGCTACAAAATAAAAACCTAAGGCTATGTTCACACTAGCGTTGTGTGCAGGCGGCAGAGACGCGTTTGGGAAGCGTTTTTACCGCCTTGGCCAATTCTGTACATTGCAGCACATGGTGCTTTTCTAACGGGAGCGTTAACGTCGCGGCAAACTGGACGCCTCTGGTAGAGTCAGGAGGCGTTGAAGCCTCCTATTCTAGTCTATGGTGCCGCTCCAGAAACGCCCGGACGGCGTTTGCAGTGCGGTTGCAATGCAGTTGCGGAGTGGTAACACCATTCAAACTTCATTCTAGGCGTTTGTGAGGAGTTAACGCTCGGCAAACGCTGGACCAACTCTTGCCAAGCGCTATAGGGGCGCTTGGCAAGCGTTGGTAAAACAGTCAAGTGTGAACGAGCCCTAAGAGTGGTTCTAGTACCAGTAATAAATATGCAATACAAAATCGTACAAAAAAAAAAAAAATGTGGTTTACAGTACTGAAAATTGTACCGTAACTTCTGAAGTACATAGAGTGTGTCCAGAAAGTAAGAAGAATTATATTTTAACCAATTTTAAAATTAAGTATTGTCTCCTTCAATTTATGCACCTTGTGAATATACATCACGTGCCCGCCAATTTTTTTTCATTCTTTATAACATCCCTAGAAACCTTCAAGTGGGATGGCGTTCAGAGCCTGCGTAGTGGCTCCACATTACCAAAATTGTGCCCTTTCAAACCCTTCATCTTCGGGAATATAAAAAAAGTTGCAAGGAGCCAAGTTGGGGCTGTAGGGTAGATAAGGAAACACCATGTGTTTTTCAGCCAAAAACTGACATCCAAAGCACTGTGACTAGTGCGTTGTCATGATGAAGGATCCAAGATGAGCTGAGCTAAGGATGCACACAAAAAAACAAAAAACAAAACACTGTCTCAAGCGACCAAGAACCTCTGGGTAAAATCTTTGATTCACAGTTTGACCAGTAGGTATAAATTCCTTATGGACAATTCCACGTGCACAAAAACACATTGACCATTGATTAGACTTTGATTCTCTCATTTGAGCTTTCTTGGGGGGTGAGGCAACGTGGGTGTGTGCCATTCTGAATTTTGTATCTTCGTCATGGGATTGTACTCAAACACCCAGGATTCATCTCCTGTGATCACTGGACTCAAAAAAAAAAAAAAAAAAAAAAAAAAAAAAAAAAAAACCCCTCAGGCACTCTTTTCAAATGGGCCAGCAGGTGTTGGCAAACGAGTTGACAGTGTTCCTTCTGATCAGGTGACATGTTCTACATACATTTTTCTCATGTTCAAATCCGGAGCCCCAATTTCAAGAATTGACTTGGTAATTCCCGTTCTCTCTGCAATCATTCTGATACTGAGCTAGTCAGTCACAGGCCTCACAGCACCCACATTCTGTTCCATTTTTGATGAAGAGGGGCGTCTTGATTGTCATTAGTCTAACATCTTCTTGTCCTTCCTTGAAGGCCTGTGCCATCAGTACACTTGTGCAGATGATAGTGCAGCTTCTCAATAAGGTTTCCTCACCATTGCCAAAGTTTCTGATGCACGTTTATCCAATTTCAAACAAAAATTTTATCACATACCTCTATTCCAAACTTGCTTGCATTTTTCTTAATACGAAGCACTTGAACAGAGTGTCACAAAAAAGAAATGTCTTGACTCTGACAGGACTGCAACACAACTGATCAGTGTTCCAACGTATACCTGGCATCCCACCCCAAATGACCTTGGCCACCTTCTCGAACGTAGGAACTTCATTCTCATATTCTGGACACACCTTGTACATGTATTTTGTAGCAATCTGGCTTGAATGTAAGGAGTACTACATCGCTATACCTAAAGACATTTTGGCTAAGATGTATCAATATTTTCCGGTTACTAACCTTTCCTCAAATTTGACTTTGGCCTCCCTTCTGGCTTTACGTTTCAGAGCTGGGTCCCTGAAAACATCCTTGTTCACCACAGCTTTGTCAAGAGGGATATCAACAGAGTATCTAGAAAAAAAAATACAGAACTGATTTAACCCAACAGAATGGCCATATCAAGAAGAAAGAACACCTTAGCATTACTTTGTAGTATAAATCTGTGCGAAGGTTCAAACATATGCATAGCACAGAATAGGCTGAATACTTCTTACCCTTGCTTTGCAGTGGTAAAATTAACCACTTTAATACCGGCCACTTTTACCCCCTACCTGCCCAAGCCAATTTTCAGCTGTTAGCACGGTCACACTGAGAAACAATCGTGTAGTCATGCACTGTTCCCAATCTAAATCTTTATCATTTTGCTCACACAACTAGAGCTTTCTTTTGGTTGTATTTAATAACCACTGGGTTTTTTATTTTTTCACTAATGAAAAACACCGCCAAAAATTATGAAAAACAAAAACCAAGTTTTTCTTTGTTATAAGCATTTTGCAAATAAATAATTGTTCTTCATAAATTTAGGCCAAAATAACCCAAATTAGTGTATATTAATTTAGTCTGTAGAATCCACAAACTATGGTATATCTGAAAATCAATCAATCCTGATGTATTGACAGCCAATCTAATTTCTTGTGGCCCAAAAAAGTCAGGACAGTACAAATTACTCCTTTTTGGAAAGTAGACAGTCTGAGGTATTTAGTAAGAGGCATGGTGAGTTCTTTGAAGTTGTAATTTTTTGGAAAAAGTAATTAAGAAAAAACTCTCAATTTTTTTTTACACCTTCCCACATGGCCTATGGCAGATTGATGGCCAGGCAGGACACTCCTCGTTGTGACTGGGTGTCATACAACGTCCTGTCAAAACAAGCAGCTCAGCGGCGCAATCTGTCACAGTCGATGACATATCACTACACAGGCCCATTGCCAGTGTCAAGTGACCAATCACAGCAGATCACATGTCAATTGTATACAATGGATGGCTTCCAGTCATGCCATCCATTGTATACAATTATGTTGTTACCTGTGACTGGTCAAGTCAGTCACATGATACAGACAGGGCCATTCACAGCCCATCTGTATCATGTGATCAGCTGTGCCCAATCACAACAAAACTCAGAATGAATCAGTTTCATTCAGTAACAATGATTGCAAATAACAATGAAATACATTGGTATTAGCAATCAATGGTTAAAAAAAAAAAAAAAAAATCCTGATCACTTGCCCAGAGTACATCAGTGTTACTATGGTAACATTGTATTGCTTTGGTCACAGTGTGCTAAAAAATAAAATAGTAAAAAAAAAAAAAAAAATGTAAATAAAAAAAAAAAAAAATAGAAACATTTGGGAAAAAAAAAAAAAATTATGATTTCAATTATTTTCACCAAAGAAATGTAGAATACATTTTGACCTAAATTTCTGAAGACATTTTATTTGCAAAATTTTATAACAGAAAAGAAAAGTGCGTTTTTTTTTCCAAAAGTTTCAGGTGTTTTTTGTTTTATTTAGCAAAAAATAAACTCAGTGGTGATTAAATGCCACCAAAAGAAAGCTCTATTTGTGTAAAAAAAAGATAAAAATATCATATGGATACAGTGTTGCATTACCGAGCAATTGTCATTCAAAGTGCAACAGCGCTGAAAGCTGAAAATTGGCCTAGGCAGCAAGGGGGTAGTGCCCAGGTATTAAAGTGCTTAAACATACTGTCACTAGTACAGTACAGCATTCACACAACTGGTGAGGTGGTGATCAGGGACACCGATGGGTGACAGTAAAAAAAAAAAATTTCAATTTTATAATTTTTTTTTTATAAAATGTTACCAGAGTAATAGTGTTCCCATAGCAACATTGTACTATTAAGCCAGTATTTTATTGTTTTTTTACATATTATGACTGCCTATAGCAATAAATTTCATTGCTACAAGCAAGCATTTTACTGAATAAAATTGACTGTTTTGTTGTGAATAGCTGATTGGCCACAGCTAATCACATCACACAAATAGGCTGATTGGCCCCGTCTGTACCATGTGATCACTGACCAATCACAGCTAGAAACATAATTCTACATAATGGATAGCTGGTTAAAATGGAACTACACTATCTGAGCAATATAAACCAAACACTAATTCATTTTTCATATTCAAAAGCAGGCTTCCCAATCCATGTCTCCAGGTTTTATTTTGTTGACAAATCACTGAAAAGCACCCCCTAGCATTTCTGGCCATGGCCATCTTGAATAAGGGCAGATTCGATTCATGTAGGGTTTACTTCCTGGAATACATCTAAGGCATGCAGGAAGGAGGGTGTGCTTAGCTGGGAAAGCTCCTCCTCTCCTGAAGACTCATTGGATGTATGGCATAATTTGCATAGCCATAGAAACCAGGAAGCAACTGAATTGAAAAAAAAAAAAAAAAAAAAAAAAAAGTTTAAAACACATGATACTTTTCTATTTAATAATGCTTGCAGCATGAGGATTAAAAATATTCTGTGTTGGTTGAGAGATAGTGAAGTTCCACTTTAAGATCTCTACACACCTGGTTGGCATGAGGTGGTTGTAGTTGTACACCTTCACAAAAGACTTGATTTTGGACCGCTTGGCAATTCTCTTCTTGCCCATCGTGGCGGTCACCTTACGAGGATAGCGATCAATGCCAGCGACCAGGGCGTGGCTGTACTGGCGGTCTGAGGTGCCATCATCGATATTCTGTTCAAGAGAACATATTTGTTTAAAATCAAAACATCCAAAGCTTCTTGTATTAAACGTCACACATTTATATATGGAGTGGATTAGCAAGTGAAGGCTAACACTTCATGTTTTTTTACATTTGCTCCATTAACTGATGTGGATTTTTGTCATGATCCCACTGATCAAGGTACATCTGCTGAGACTGAACACTAAAGACCCAGCATCTATTATCTGCATGCCCCCATTCAAATGACAGGCAGGATGTGTCCGGTAAGAAGGGTAAACATCCATAAAATCAATCACAGACTAATATTTGCCACTCAGATTTAATTGATATAGTGATGAGATGACAGCACCATCTACTCAAAATGGTATAAAAAAAAATGAAAAACCAAAATCTATTTTGGAGACTGCACTTATCACAAATCCTTGTAGTCTCCCACTGAACAGGGAAAATACACGTGCCTTTCACAGAGTTGTGAAGACAACCTGGCAGAGAGGTTAGGCCACAATGTTCAGCTGCAAATCAGGGAATAGGGTGAAAGCATCAGAACAGCAAGAAGTAACTGAAAAGAAGCCTTAATTTTCCTTCCCAAATTAGTAGCAAACTAGAAAGTCAAAAGCTAAAAAAACACATACCTTTACAATGACAGCTTTGCGGCCCGCATAGCGTCCTGCTAAAACAAGGACAACTTTCCCTGGTTTCATGAACTTGCCCATCTCTGTGGAAACATTCAAAATGTTATACAAGGTATTTCAAATAAATGGGTTGTTTAAATGAAACAATCTGACAGAAAATGATAATCTCTTCTCATAAAGTTACATACTTCCCAATATGAATAGGTGGTAGGTGTTGGGCAAAACAAGAAAATACAACCACAATCAGATCTACTAACATTTGGGGGTCTGTTATAAAAACTGGAGCAGTTATACAGAACACCAAATCACATGCCTTCATTATTTTATGGAAAAAGGTTGATACTAGCAGATGCCTCACTGAATGCACCTGGAAACTGTACTGAAGTACTGTACAGGAAGCAAAAAAATTAAATAAAAAAATATTTAAGATGGGGTTCTGCCACCAAGTGTTATTTTCAACTCCCTTAACAGGCAAATGTCAGAGGGATGAGACAAAACATTTGACAATGACAGGGGTACTTACAATGGTCAGCTTTTAATCAATTATGTCAAAACATTATCTCAAAAGGGGAAAAAAACAAAAACCTGTTGCTTAACAATGTAACAGTTCAGTTTTAAGTTCTTAGTCATGTCCACCTAACACTACCCCCTCCCCAGCTTAACAATGCTACTATCCAAGAATGGCTCCATGGCTCCTCCATCCAGAGTGGAGCCACCAAGACAGAAGCGTGCTACTGGCCAGATCACCAGTTGAAAATAAAGGAAAAATGCATGAAAAAGAAAACAAATGCAGCTTACTAATCCTTGAATGTGCTGACTGCAATATATTACTTTCAGGTTTTTGCATTTAACTCTGTCCTACCTAAAATGCAAGAATGTTTTTGCTTATAATTTAAAAAGGATAAGTTTACCTTTGGGAACATGTTACATGTTCTATGTTCTGCCCGTTTTTAGGGTTGAACATGTAACATGCTCCCACAGCTACAGCCGCTGCCCAAATCCCTCCCCCGTGACAGCAGTATAGGGAGAAGCTCATTGTGGTAGTTCGTTGAGTTTGTCAGACTAACTGCTTGCCTGTACAGATACGCTGACATTTTGCAGGAGTCCTGCACTGCAGTAGTGATCTGATCGCAATGCAATGCTTTCTAAGCACAGAAGAAAAAAAAAAAAAAAAGTTAAATGCACTTTATTTTATCTGCAAAAAAACAATCATTTTTTTTAAAAGTGAACTTATCCTTTAAATGTCACCCAGTTAGGGTTCACATCTTAACAGTTCCCACAATAAGACAGCATTCCTCCAATAAAGGGGAACTTCACCCTGCCTTGCTATACTAAATGCCATATACATAAATGTGTGTATCTGAAAAGAAAACAAAAAAAAAAACAAAAAACCAAACAACTTGCTAATCCATGGAGCCCAGCATTGACTTCCATGCAACCAAAGTTCTCCTTGCGCTGCTCTACTTCCAAACTCCTGTTCGGGGAGATGGCTGTTACTTCCTGACACGTGCATCACTGCCATGATTGCAAATATGGCAAGGGTGTTGTGTGAGTTGGTGAGCAATCAATTTATTGAGGGAAGATCCACATTAAAAGGGGACACAAACTGCACAAATGCACGGAAACCTTTTGCGCTCCAAGTAGCGTACTGCCATAATGTGAAAGTGTGCACAGCATATTGACACATTTGAGTAAAAAGAAAAAATTAAATCACTGCTTGCTGCTTTAGGTCCGGTTCACATCTGGCATTTTGGGATCTCAGGCAAAAATGCTGCAATTCTGCCTGCAAACTCAAATCGCACTGCTATAGTGGCAAAATGCATCATGTGTGTTCGCTTGGCATTAATTTTCAATGTCCCCTAAACGTGGTGCGGTTCTGGCCCAATAAAACACGCTGCAATCACGGCAAACCATACTGCACAAAGCTTGTCACCTGAAAAGGAGCAGGAGCTTCTTTTGGGTGAAAAGAATCGTGTGACAATCACGGCAGAAGAGTGTACAAGTGCCACTGAAAATGAATGATACCCGAAAATGTGTGGTGCATCTTACCACTATGGCAGTGCGATTTGAGATCACAGGTAGATCTGCAGCAATTCTACATGAGGCCTCACACTATTGTGGCTCTCCGAGCTGCATTCGCATGGGCACAGCAGCCCATTCATTTAAATGCACTGTTGTGCCTGCATTTCATGCATGAAAAAGGCTCCTGCACCATTTTTCAAATGCAGTGGCTGGGAAATTGCATAGTGCTTTGCACCGTGCGATTTCCCTGTGGCTCCCACACTGCATTTTAAGATGCATGAGGTGCCATTACGGACCCCTTCAAACTAGAAAGCAGTGTGGGAAAGCCACGTACCTGTGAGGCTTCCTGCACCGCATTCCAGTCGCACTGCCCTTGTGATCTGCAGTTATAGCGGAACTACACAGTTTCTGAGCACCACAAAGCAAAAATTCTATTTAATTTACTTTTTAAATTCAAAGCAAACTCCTCCATCCATCTTTCTATGCTTTATTCTGCTGAGAAATCACTTTGAAAAACATCTTCTAGTATTTCTGGCCGTGGCCATCTTGAGTAAGGGTAAATTATTCATGCAGCATTTACTTCCTGGAATCCATTTGCCCTTAGCTCAGGCATGCAGACAAGAGGGTGAGCTCAGCTGAGAAAACCCCTCCATTAGACTACTGAGATGTAGGACATCATTTGCCTAGGCATGGAAACCAGGAAGTCTTTGAACTACTGCATAAAAAAAAAAAAAAGATATATTATATATATATATAATATACTTTCCTATCTATTTACTAATGCTAGCAGCATAAGGATTAAAAATAGTAAATGTCAATATATGTTCACTGTTGGGAACATGTTACAACCCGTTTTTATGGTGGAACATGTAACATGTTCCCATGGCCACAGCTGCCACCCCCGACAGTACAGGGAGAAGTCTCCCCGTACCATCTGGCAAATTTGACAACAGGGTGGCTGTGCGGGGCACCACCCACACATCCGCGGCATTCATTCACAGATGTCCGTGAATGAATTTCAAGCCCTGGCAGCTTTATTGGCTGTAGGCTTGTAGTTTTCAATGAACCACCATGGCGCTGTGGAGTGCTGTGGTAGTTCATGGAAGCTTCCTGTCAGAATATCTGCTTGGCCATCCTGTACAGCAAGCAGATATTCTGACAGGTCTGCAGGAGACCTGCATGATATCAGGCATCTACTGATCTCTGGTTCAATGCTTTACAGGCTCCTCTGGACAAAAATAATAAATGCACATTTTAATTAACCTGCAATAAAAAAGTACATTTATTATTTTTTTTTCTAAAGAGTGAACTTATCCTTTAAGTGGAGTTCTACTTTAACGAAACCCCAAACACAGGGAGTTTGCCTGCATCAGATCGCTTTATACAAAAAGTACCATGCGACCCAGCTGCCTTGTTTCAGAAAGTAGTACATGCACTACTTTTGGTGCGGTGCAATTTCAGCCCATTCAAAACAAATGGGGACGAAATTGCACTGCATAGAACTGCATGTGAGTTGCACAGAAACCGCATAGTATTCCTGTGCGATTACATGCAGTTCCTAGTGTGAAAGGGACTACTTAAGAATGAATGACAGCCCCACACATTTCGGCAGCAGGAACAGATGTGATTCCTGCACCCATAATACTGTGAAGCAGCCTGAGATCCCAAAACGGCAGATGTGAAGGGAGCTTATCCAGAAAAGCGATTCCCACCCCCCTCCAGCGATGCAATGTCAGCTGTACTCCATCTTTTCCATCTCTCCACCGTTTTCTTCATGGTTCTAAGCTTTTAGCCATCTTGAATAGCCAGGGTGATGCACCTCCCATGCATGCTATGTTGACACTTGGGCAGCTTAAGGCTCCATGCACACTAGTGGGGTTTTGTGTTTTGTTTTTTGTTTTTTTAAGACACAGGAAAAAAACGCTTTAGGCCCCTTACAGACAGGGTGGATCCATCAGCGTGATCTGCCTACTCAATGGAAGATATCACAACTAAGCAGGTGGATGACAGGTATCTGGCCACTCTCCTTGTTGCAGAGCAGACACAGACCGATTCCAATGTGATGGCTGGATGGAAACGGACCGCCTGTTCATTTCCACCCAACTGTCTTCCGATCTGCTGGATGGATGGCGATCAGTCTGTACTTGCCATACAGGATCAGATGCTTGACTGCTGACACCCGCCGGTCCATAGAAGTCTATAGATAGACCGATTGGGTCTGCCTGAAAACAGACAGGCGGGCCCCATCAGTTCGCTCATGTGAAAGGGGCCATAGGAGCGTTTAGGAGCATTAACGTTTTATTAACATTTTTACAGTACATGTAGGGAAAAAAAGAAAAAAAAAAACCTGTTAGGAACATTTAGAATTTTTTTCTGCTTGAAAAACGATCTAAAGAAACTCTACAAAAACATTTTTTTCCTGCTTAGACACTGAAGCTCAAAAACAACCCGCTAATAACCATGAACGGTAGTGTGCATGGACACATAGGAGAACCCTGTTTAGCTTCTAGAAGTAGGGAAAAAAATGCTGATAGCATCTAGGAGCTTAAAAAAAAAACCGCTAGTGTGCATGGAGCCTAAACATCAATCCATGGTGGATCACCTTTCAGAGAGTAGCAAAGCAACCACTTCTAGGCATTCCTGGCAGAAAGCGATCCCACCTGACTTGCAGTTTTTTTCCCTTTTTACCGAATGACAGTTTTCTTGGAACGCATGACAACCGCGGGTCAAGCGTCTGTTATGCGTCCCACCACCTGGCTGCTAATGTGGGAAGCCCTTGTCACAGCACAGAATGAGGGAATAAATATGTAGACTCAGGAAAAGAAATCCACGTATGACACACCAGACACAGCCAATCCTTAGCCTGGGTTCACATACATGTGATGCTGTATACTGCATGTGATGCGCACACTGCATGTGATGCGCACACTGCATGTGATGTGCACAGGAACCGCACCCCATTCCTGTGCAAATCACATGCGACTTGTGTGCGGTGCGATTGAAGCCATACATTTTGTATGGCTCTAATTGCACAAAAACATGCACAACCCTTTTTTTGG